GGAGCCAGGCGGATTCCCAGGCGTCGTTCCACTCGTCGCCGCCTGTTTTCGTTGCTCTCGGTTTGTTGTTTGGTGCGGTTGAAAGAGGGTATTTTTGGAAATACTTTGTTGAGGTTTTGGCGATGATCTGAGGGTTGAGAGATGAGAATCTGGGGAGGCGTCTGAGGGAGTGCATGTTAGGTGTTTGATGAAATGGCGCGCTTTGGGTCGTCGCTTGCCATTTAGTGGAGGGTTGTCGGGTCGGGTCGGGTCGGGTCGAACTGTAGACCTCAATTAAAGACAGGAAAATGCGCTCTCATATAAGACTAAAGGACAAAACTAATGCGGCAATTTACCCGTTTTCCCCTCGAAGTAGAGGTGTACGAGCTCAGCGCGGTTATTTTCTTAGCTTACGGTGAAATACTTAACAAGTCAATGGTGTCACAGTGTTTCTTCGCATTCGTCGTACTTTCTGCAATTTCAAAAATAAATTTTCAATTCCAAAAGAGAGAGAACGGGTAAAAAAAAAAAAATAATTCTGAGAGAGAGTAGTTTGGAAATTTTTAAGAAATGCTAAAAAAATACACCATCATGTCATCGATTTGTTAAATTCTTGATCGTGAACTCACAAGATGACTACATTTGGGCTATGCATATAGGTTAATGGGGGAAATAGTTAAATTAATACCTTAGAAGGGAAAGCTGAGAGTTCACCAACAAATTGAGGGGGAATTGGTCATTTCATCCTGGAACTAAACAAAGAAGGCTTAATTGCCGATAGGCCCCCGTACTGTAGCCCAATTACAGATAGTTCACTATAAGTTTATTTGTACATATGGACACCCTGTAAATAGTACATCACTATGCTTTCTGTTGTTAGCTTAGTTTTCTTTGAACAATTTGGTAACCCACCTTCACCCAAAATTTTGCTATAAGAATAACTTTCCTGAAAGAAGAAGAATGCATCTACTTGTCTCAAGTTGCTGTTCAATATCGAGGTGAACTTCAAGGGAAGCTGGCCAAAATATCATGGAAAATAACAAAATGTTTGTGGGAAAATTGCGAGAAAATTAAGAATAAAATTTGTATTAATCTTCCTAACTAACTTAGGAAAAGAATGAATGCAATCTCTCTTTGTAACCTCTCTAACTGACTTAGAAAAAGAAAATATAATTTATCTTATCAGTTTCCCGATTTACAAAAGAGAGAAGTGTTTGCGTCGAAAGTTGGTTTATTCATGGAATTCATTACAACTTCAATCGTTTACAACAAGTTCAAAAGAGTTAGACTTTTTATAAGACTTTTCTCACATGAATAAAAATAAAAATACAACTATCTAGAAACACACGTAGAGGACGTTTATCACCCGCTGCTTGCGTGGGATCTTTGCCTGTGTCGGGGACGCGTTAGTCCGTGAACCACCGCTGATCAAATCCGGTTGACAGAACGAAAATTTAATGCTCTTGCTTCACAAAGGAAACAATTGCAGAAGTGATAATCTCAACCAAGTGAGTTTACGACTCTTCTCAAGATCAAAACCAAGTTTGATCCGAAGGAAAGGGGAATGAGTCTCAGATCTCTCAAACTCTCCCTCTTTATGCTGAAGAACTTCACCAAGATCTGCTAGCCTCTCTGAAATTCGTGATTCACTCTTCGCAGGGACAGTACCTCACCTAAATTTCAGATCCCTCGTGTATAGTGGTCATAGGCTTGTATTTATAGGCTTCGGATGCAGCGTTTTAGGATAATAATTGATTATTTGACTGTATCCTCAGTTAATAACCACTTAACCATGTTTAGGAATATTATCAAAGCAGTTGGGGAGGCTCTGGAACGAAAGAATCCCGAGAAAACTATCGAAAAATGCGTTTTCAGTATTTCTAGGCGCGAGCCACCCTATGGTGGCTCAGCACTGTGCGAGCCACCTGGCCTGGAATCCAAATTGTAATTGATTTTGAGAGGAATACAAGTTAATTTTTCTTTCATCGTCTTTTTACTGCAAATTTCCAACAAACAGTAATATCGTGAAGAGATAGATTTTTTCAAAACAATATATATAGCAGTGTTTGGGTTTCTTGAAGAGCGTGCAAGGGGAATTGTTTTCGGCTGAGAAAGGCAAATGAACTTGGTTTCTTCTTGTGCGGCTGCGGAACAGAAACAAGTAGCAGGAGAAAGAGAAGAAAAGCAGAGGCCTTTTAGGGATTTGTGTACCTCTTTTGTAGAGAGATATTTGTGAGGAATTTGAGAGTTTGTGTGAGGGTTTAGATTGTGAGTGATTGTAAACCCTAGTTGTATTCTCTCCCTCTATTAGTGGATCTCCCCCCTCCTTGCCCCATGGACGTAGGTAATTTGCCGAACCACGCAAAAATTGGTTGTACTACTTTTGTGTGATTTGTAATAGCTTTTTAGGATCCCTCGACAGGTCAGTCCTAGAACTGATGAGAGGAAGAGCCGATATCTCACTTTGTTGAGATATTCGCTTCAGATTCTTGTTTTCTTGGTGAGACGGGAATTCTTATTACGACCTGACTCTCTTGTTGTGCTGCCGAAGTACTGTCGAAATTTTCGCTGCGCGCAACAAGTGGTATCAGAGCCCAGATTTCAGATCTAGGGTGTTTTGGTGGAGGAAGATTCAGTTGGAAGCTTGGTTCTTAGAGTTCTAGGCTTCAGTGGAGATATGATTTGAAGTTGCCGTTGGAGATCTTGCTTTCCTCGTGTGGTTAGGAGTTATATTTGGAATCCAATCTTGGGTTCAGTTGAGTAATTTCTTATTCCTTTCAAAGTTTGAATCTTTCTTTGCAATTTGGAGTTAGTTTGCAATGGGAGAAGTATGTGAAAGCAGCAAATCGATGGCGAGTACAATACAAGTTGGTTTTCAGAACACTAAGATTAGTGTGGTGAAATATGACGGTAAAATTAACTTTGGTTTGTGGACGAGCGATGTACAGGATGCGCTCAATGCTCAGAATTTGGAAGAGACCATCATGGTCCACAAGAGGCCACCTAAATATGATGAGGCGATATAGGAGAAGATGAATAGGAACACATGTGGGGTGATCAGGTCCTGTTTGGAACAGGAACTGAAATATGATGTGATTGGGGTGACGTCTGCAATGAAGATGTGGGAAATTCTCAATAATAAGTATCTCACAAAGAGTGTTGAGAACAGGTTGCACTTACTGCGAAGACTCTTCAGATTTCAGATGTCCAGAGGCACCTCGCTAGCGTCTCATGTGAACAACTATACTAAGTTATTGTCGGACTTGGCGAATGTTGATGAGAAGATATCGGATGAGTACAAGACAATTATTTTGTTAGGCTCCTTACTGGATGAGGAGTATGATACCTTCGTGTTCATTTTGTTGAACGGGAGATCTTCTATCAACTATAGTGAAGTGACTAACGCTTTGACAAATTACAATTTGAGGAGGAAGGATAAGGAGACTTCCCACGCTAGTACTTCAGAAGAGGCCTTGTCGACGAGAGGTAGAAGCTCATATCCGAAAGGTGATAATAGAGGAAGGTCAAAGTC